CAGGTCTAACTACCTGGTGATGGGACGTGAGAGCTTCAAAGACGCCAATAATAAAAGTAGCTCACAAGACCAACCTACTTGGGCATATCAAAACAAAACAAAACAAGAAGCTAGGACACAGTAAGCAAACATAAATAAATATAAATAATATAATAACATATTGATGGCTCGAAGACAACAGTCAATATCAAATCACATAAAGAGGCAGATCCTGATAGCTTCAGCAAGTGACCAAAACAAAGAACCAAGAATACTCCCAGAGGAAAATAAGGTCTTGGAGTTACCAGAGGTAGAATTCAAAATATTAATATACAGAGCTCTTCAAGAGATCAGAAGATCAGGCAAAACGCAGACCAAGCCAAGGAACACACAAAGGAACAGAAGAACTTAAGAAGGTTATACAAGAGCATAATGACAAATTTAACAGGCTGCAAGAATCCATAGACAGGTAGCAAACAGAAATCCAGAAGATTAACAACAAAATTTCAGAATTAGACAGCTCAATAGAAAGTCATAGGAAGAGAATTGAGGCAATGGAAATCAGAATTAGTGAGACTGAAGATAAAGCCCTTGACACCAATTTATTTGAGGAAAACTCAGACAAAAGAATTTTAAAAAAAGGAAGAAACCCTACAAATTATGTGGGACTCTATCAAGAGGAATAACACACGAGTGACTGCAGTACCAGAAGGGGGGGGGGATAACAGAAAATACAGAGAGAGTGGTTGAAGATTTGTTGGCAGAAAACTTCCCTGATACCGTGAAAGATGAGAAGATACCTATCCAAGATACTCAGCGAACCCCACATAAAGTAGATTCCAAAAGAAAAGTCACCAAGACATATTATAATCAAATTTGCCAAAACCAAAGATAAAGAGAGAATTTAAAAACGCAGTAACATCAGATAACAACCCGACACTAGAACACAGGGCTGAACAACCAGATATCAACACAGATGGGGAAGTCGCAAAAATAAATCAAAGCTAAAACACTGAAAATAGGGAAACAGAGACGTGAATGTGTAAAAGATGACAACACCAAAACAGAGAGACTAAATAATGCAGTCATAGAACTTTCATACGGAGAGGAAGTCAAGGTGATATAAAGAAATAAAAGATTGGTTTAAACTTAGAAAAACAGAGGTAAATATTAAGGTAACCACAAAGGAAACTAACAGTCCTACACATCAAAATAAAAAAGAAGAAAAACATACTTAGTAAATACAAAATCAACAATGAAAAAGATGAAAATACATAAAGAAAAATGACTCAGCACAGAAAATTAAGTAGAACAAAGAAACTGTCAATAACACACACAAAAACTACATCAAAATGACAGCACTAAACTCATACCTATCAATAATTACGCTGAATGTAAATGGACTAAATGCACCAATAAAGAGACAGAGAGTGGCA